TGTCCTTTCGTTCCTCTCTTAAATTACCAAGACAGGTTTCTCTTTTTGCAGCAGCAAATGTCCTAGGCTTTTTATTTTCTTAGAATCTCTCTCACTAGAACAAGAGTCTTCACAAGAAACAGATTTTGGAAGTATCAAAAATTGTGCTAGCCAGCTGCAGAAAGGGAAAAGAAACTGCATCTTCATTCAAAAAACTATGATGTCCACTCCTTTAATGAAAGCACATCTTCTTGGCTTCAGGAACAGTTCTTGAGTTCCTCCCTTGCACACTGGATAATAGCTTCTGGGCCGTCAGGAGAAAAATACTGAAACTGTAACATGTTAAATAGCAGGATATACTGTAACCCATGGGCTGAGGCTCTCTCAAGCTTCCCAAACCAAGGCCCAGGAAGCAAACTGTCCTTGCCAGCACTCCAGCTGTCGCTGTTCTCTTTTCCAAGTACAAGGTAAGCCACTGGCAGAAGAGAGAACTACGTGCCTGGCTGCTGGAAGAAGAGGAAAGAGAAAATATGATGTGCAATACATCAGGAACACACCAAATTATCATGGCAGGCCACATCATCCTAACGCTGCTCTGCATTGTTTCCACCTTGATGATCTTTCAGCATGTCACGATGCTGAGCCACGATGACACAGGTGCAGGAAGCACATATCAGATGCAAAGTAAAAAGGTCACGTAATGTTTGTGACCCTCTGAAACACCAAAGAGACTTTCCTTGCATCTGAGTTCCTTGCTGAAAAGCCAGAAGACCTGTCTGTATCAAAATCATGAAAAACTTCTGGAACAGTTAAGATAAATATGACCTATATAAAGATAAAGGAGGAATTCTTTTTTCTTTTTTTCAGAACTCCTTATCACTCTATCGGAGCGTGGACTTCAAATAGTGTTTTAAAAATGTTCTTTAAAATAAATCTTTTGTCCATAACAGGACTTAAAGCACCCCCAGGGCCTGCAGGCTTGCTTAAGTTTGAGACAAAAAATGTACATAATTGTCAATCTTTAGCAAGTCAGGGAGCTCTTTTCTAACCAAAGCCAGAAATACCCCCTCCTGAGAAAAACTTCACAAAGAATGTGGAAAAAGCTTGTGAACTTTTCACGGTACAAAATTTAAGATGAGGACAAATGTGTCAGTCTTGAGCTTTTTATAAGCTCTGCTGCATTTCCATCACCTTACAGAGATAGAGCATTGTCTTATATTGTAACTCACTAGAGTAACTCACTTTCTTTAAATATGAATAAAATAATTAAAGCAGTCAAACATGGTAATCTGCATAAATCTCTCTTGATCAACCCCTGTAGCCTGTAAACCTGTATTGTTGATGTAATAAAAACAGGCTTTGTTCCCAGGGGAGTAAAGGCATATCGTGTCAAACAGATTCAAGGACAGAGCAAACAATTTCAGCTGAAGAGCCTGGAGGAATCCCGCAGTATTAAACACTGAGCTATCCAGGCTTACACAATGTAATTGAGAATACTTCTCCTTGTAATTTAGCCCAACCCTTATAATCTCAGATTATAATGAAAGGTTTTTCCCTTTAAACAATACAACATTATGATATTCAGTGATAAACAACCAAAGTATTCTGTTACTTTAATTTCAGCAAGACGTGTTTAGGGAAGCTCTGCAGTGGTGTCAACAAGCAATAAGCTGGATGCAGTGTGGCTCCAGAGTGCTGTGTTTATCTCCAGGGCCCTGAGCTTGGTTCTCTGCTATCCCAAGGGCTGTGCCACCTGACAACTGTGCTGAGCAATGTATGCACAGCACAGTACAGGGGCACCTTGTGCTTGCTGGGGTCAGTAACCACAACAGCAAAGTACAAATCTCTGGGTGTAGCAGGGCTTGTGCAAGCTGCAGATTGCCTCAAAATGCCCAGACATCACAGCACAAAACTAGGTGTGCTTTTCCATCGGGGTCAGCGCTAGCAGAGCTTGTCAGTAATCCTCAGTGCTTGGCACCATCTCTCCTAGATGAACCCTCCCTAGCTTTGCAGAAATGGGGGCAGTGTTTGAAAGATGAATAAACTGTGCTAACCCTTTGAGTACCTCAGGAAAAGCGTGCATTCAACAGAAGAACGCTTGCATAGCCCTGTGAGTGTACTTTGTACAGTTTGTCCTGATTAGAAAGGAAGTAAGCTTAACAGAGAATCCAACAGAGACAAGCAGTTCTCTAGTTTTATTCGGAAAAGCTGCAAACCTGTTAGAGTTCACTTGCTGGTATGAACAGTAAGCCTGAAAAATGCCACTGTTGAGATCAAGGAATAATGGCTTAGGTGGAACAAGGCAGGCTGACATGGGGTGGTCTGGAAGGGAAGAGCAAGTACTACAAGCCCACGTGTCCTAAACCTGAGTAGTGACACTATCACAGCCACATCCTCATTTGACCAATGCTTCACACAGTCCCCAGCTGCAGGACTTTCTGTGAAGCTTCAGGTGGTTTCTGAAACCAGTAAAAATCTCAGCCTTGAGTCCTAAGGGACTTTTATCTTGTTGACAGCAAACTGTCTGAAGATGGAATTTATTTATTTCTAAGATGATTTTGTTCTGTGAATTCTATCCCCCTCATGTTGCTATTCTGCACTCCCTTCTTTCCCTCAGCTTCAAAGATTCTTCCAGATTGCTTATACAACCTGAACACTGCAGAACCCCAGATATATAGAGCACCTACAAGGATATATTGACGCTCCTATTATTACTACTCAATGAAAACAGAAAAGCCATTCACTGACTGACCTATTCTTTTAGGCATTTCTAATAAACATATCTATATCAGATCTATATCAAAGTAGTGATTAAAGAAAAAAAAACCCTCCAACCTTGCATTAACTTTATCCTACGTCACCCCCCTGTGAGGACTGGTACAGCTTTGAGGACTTTTTATCTGCATTCTCTGTGGATCAATAGTGTCTCATCATTACCTAGTCACCAATCAAGCCCTTTTCCAACACTCACTGACACACAAAAAAACACGAGCTGTTTGGAAATATCAAATTCAGGAACACGTGAAGAATTACCTGCAGAAAAGGGGGGAAGTAATGCCCTCCCCATTAGTTTTGGCAGCCATCCTATGGGTCATTTTGCTTTGTATACTGTATGTTCTTTTCTGTCATGCTTTGCCCTTACGTTGTCTTTTAAAGAACAAGCTCTCCGGCAATGAATAGAGTCTTTATGTGCTTGGAAAACATTTCTAGTATGTTGTAGATACGACTGTGATAAAAATACTCATTGTTTTCCAGAACTTCCTTACCATCGCCACACTTTACTTCAGTTTTGTCACTGGAATACAACCATTATTACATTGTTTTGTGCTCCTGATGAAGCACTGGCAAATGGTTCAGATATTTTAAATGGATTCTGTTATTTCTTCTGACCACGCTGGGAACATGTTGTGTCAAGAGAACTTGACGTAGTTCAGCACATTAGCAAATGTAAAAATTAAGACATTTAATTGACATGTGGGAAAGAGGAAAAGAACAAAGGAGTTCTGAAGCCTAATTAGCCCATGAATTAATAACTATCATTGGGTTTTAGCCTGATGCTATATTTGTACCTTGGTCCTTTTCTTACTGGTTTCATGGTCTGAGTGTTGAGTTAGAATCATAGAATGATGGAGTCTGTGACATTCATCTCCGTGATGTTTGCTGAAGGAGTACACAACAAATTAAAATGGTCTTTTACCTCCTCAGCTTCTCCCCAGCAGAATATAATTGCTTGCATTTCTAAAGTGTTTGAAAATAACAGGCTTGACTCTTTTCTCATTTGGTCTGGCTTAACAATGCTGCAAGTCCAAAGAATTCAGCCACATTAACTTCAACACAAAGCTTACTAGAGGAACGCCTGGCCTGGTACTTCAGACATACCTCATATTCTGGATTTAAAGAGCAATTCCCATTAAACTTGGATTAAAAACCTATTCACGTTATGTTCTGGACTCAAACATTGTCTTTAAACCACTTCCTTCTGCCTCTACTATTATGTTGTCCTTCCTTTAAGAGCAATGAACAAAGCAATTACTGACCTGTACCCTATCTGCTTCTAGTTCCCAGCTTTTCCAGTTCTTTCAGATTTTGTTGTTGTTATTTTGGGGTTTTTTTGTTGGTTTTTTTTTTTTTTCAGTTGGCCTAGGCACTTCCGGATCTCATTCACCTTGGCTTCATGGGTATGACATGACCTTGTCCTCTCAGTCCTCCTTCTGCCTTTCTCATAATCCGGTCTGGTTTTCCTTTCCATTTTCTGTACGCATATGATGGATGTTTGTGGCCTTGGTGCGCTCTGTTTCTCCTGTTACAGCCCTCACATAGTACCAGCAGTGCCTGACATTCCTATAAGTCCTGCTGCATCTGTTAATTTTAAATCTAGATCTATATAGAGAGATGGTAAGAATGAGCTGCTTTAATTGCACAGATGAAGCCCTCTTACTAGAGTACATCACAATCCCTGCCCTCACAACAGCCTGTGAGGAGCAACAATATGGGTGTATGTTCTTCAGTGCTGAAAAAAAAACCAAACAATGTCCCCAAAATCACAAGAGACTTTGGCAGAGCATGAGCAGAACATTCACATAGCTCATTTTCAGTTACTAACCAAAGGACACATTTTGCTTTTCTACTCCCAGGTCTGCACGTTGGCTCCTTTCTCTGGCCCTCTTTGGCTTTAGGATGGATTTCTATCCTGAGAAGAGGCAAACAGCAGCTGAGTGCCCTTGCCCAGCCTAGCAAACCAAGGTTTCTGCTCTGCTTGCCTGCTGGGCCACAGTACAGATGAACCTTATAGCCCAGGAAGGACAGCTGCTAGAGCTTAGTGCAGAGTTTGCAGAGTGCTGCACCTCAACACACTGTTTTGAGCTGTACTGCACAGAAGTACAGGATACACAGCATTCACTTGACATCTACTGCAAGCCAGCAAGGCTCAAGCTGGGTGGATCAGAGCACACACGTCATCCCAGAGCTCCTCGCGTGGCTGCTGACAGCCAATATGACAGTGCCGGGACTCGCTTCCCTCCATGGAGTCTCCTCTCTGCGGTCCCCGCAGCTCCTGTTACTCTGCCAAACCCTTTTCCTTTTCCTGTGGGGCTTTGTCCCGCTCACTGCAGCTCCTCGTGGTTTCACGGCCCCATCACCTGCTCTTTCTTCCTACTGCGTTTAAACTGCCTGACATCGGCGTATGTCAGGGCCGGGTTAGGTCGAATAGAAGCCGCACATTATTTAGGAGAGTGCCGGCGCTGCCTCCTGCTTCGCCGGGTTATTTTGGGGCCTACGGATTGACAAAACCCGATCCTCTGCTCGGCCGCGGCCGCCGGACCCACAGCCCAACTTTCATCACCCGCTGTCCCTCGGCACGCCGGTGCCACCCGCTCCGAGCGCCGGGAGCAGGGGCTCGCCCCGAGGTTCCCAGCCACGCCCCGCCAGCAGCTTCGCAGCACGGCGGACCTCCACGGCCTTCTGCACGGCGCGGGGCGGTGCGGTGCGGCGCGGCACGGCGCGGCGCGGCGCGGCACGGCACAGCACGGCACGGCACAGCACA